GAATCAACAGTAACATAACACACTTAATTTATCTATTTATTAATCTAAGTAATAACTTAGAAGGCATGCGTAGATCTAAGCTATGTTTTGACTAGTCTTCTAATGAATGCAAAACAATACTAGCAGTTTTATGGGAAAAATTATTTTATCTTTGACAATGTAATGATAATAATATACAACTGTACATAATATAATACAACATTCTTTCTTATTTCATCTACTTGCTGAGAACAATAAATTCCTAACAAAATGATATCGAAAATTAATTTATTTCTTTTCCTCTCTTTTTGATCTACCATGATCCTGCCAACATATACTTTAGGAAATTTGCATTGTGCAGTTCGGTCTTACATCCCTCTCAATAGGTTTGGCAAGAGAGAGAGAAAGAACCGTGATTTAAAAGCATGTTGCGTAGATGATGTTGGCAGGTTATGAGAATATTTATACAACTCTGTAGTATTGTCGTTATGCAATCATTGTCCATCAACTTACAGTGTACATTGACCTTGAGTATATAGCAGAAGAGATAACCAGATATCTTCAACTAAATGCTTATAATATGATTTTTCTTGTTGCGACACATCACCTACTGCAATTATTTCCAATTGCATATCAATATTACATTTATAAATATAAATAATATGTGATGCTCTTGTTTCTGTCCTCAGTGTCCTGACACAACTACCCTAAATCACATGACTCTGACTATGCATACTCGACGTCTCTAATATACTTATTTTCACTAATAGCAAATATCTTCATTTAGAACTTCAGCGCGAATCGACCTCAGAATCACCCGAGTCCTCGAGTTTTTCCCGAGATTCGAGTTTTATTCGAGACGTCGCGAGCAGGGGCCTGTCCGAACGAAACAGCGGCTCCTTGAACTTCAGTCGGAGGTGGAGGTCGTCCGCCACCGCTGGCTCCGTCACAAGGGGGTGCGAGCCAGTGGCGGACTGAGCGTGTATGCTGAAGGGGTCGGGAGTGACGAGGGGGCTTAAAGGTCCCTCGAGGAGAGAGTGGATTTCGTCCGTCGGGAGTATGGAAGAGGGCGGCGTCAGCGTTGGCTTTGGCGAGGACGTGAATAGGGTGGCTTCGCCTTCAGGTATCGGCGACTGAGTTTCCAAGGGCAGTCTGAATGGGGACTGCGTGTCCTTAATGCGAGTGGGCCTTAGAGGACGATCTGATAGTGAGTGGAAGGGCGGAAGGCGGTCTTTCTCCTCGTGTGGACGTGGCGGGAGGGGCTCTGGAGGGAGGTCGGACAGGGAATGCGGCAGGCTGTGTTCTTGCACGCTGTGTGGTATTAGGGTTGGGCGGGTCTTGACGGGCTTATTTGGGAACGGTGGGGAATGCGGGATGAGGCGATCACCATTGTGTGGTCTTGGTGGAAGACTAGGAACGGATTGGGAAACTGGAATGAGGCCGTGGCCATTGTGTGGCCTTGCTGGATGAGGCAAGGCCTGGGAGACTGGAACGCCACCGGGGATAATCGTTGGTCTTGTTGGAATGGATGTCACGGGGAGTTTGGATGAGGTGTGAAGGGGGACACGTGTGCCAAGTCCGTGGTGTGGTCTAGTCGGGCGAGGTAGCAGAGGGTGCTCAGGCGAGGCTTCGGCGTGCGGAACAAGAATCGGCTTGGGTTTAGGCAACGGCCCGAAATCCGGCAATTGCGTTGGCAACGTGACACCCAAGGGCACCTGCGGAGGTCGTATAGTCGTTGTGGGCGTAAGTGCAAGATGAGGGTCTGTCTGGATGGCTAAATTTGGTGCGTGTTCTCCCTTGGTGCCCTGATGGGGTACGGGCGACGTGTGGAGGTTCGGGACTGGAGGCGGTGCCAAGGTCGGCGGAAGACTCGGGGCGAAGGGCTTGTCTGCAAGGGGAGGGAGGCTCGTCGTCTGGGGAATGGGTGGAGGTTTTTCATGCAAAATCGGATCCTTGTGATGGACTGGCTCCTTCGGATGTGTAATCGGTGGCGGATTATGGAGGACAGGTTTTATGCCTTGGTGTACTGGATCAACAAGTCCTTTGGTAGGGACAAGTGGTCCTTTGTTTGGAGAAAGTGGGACCTTTCCGAGGCTTACTGTCGCGGGTGTAGTTACGACGTTTGGCTTACTTACATGGAGTGGCTTCGGGGAAGTGTGGTGTGTCGGTTTTGGTGACACAGTATGAACCGATTTGGGTGTATTTTGGAATCCTGGCTTCTGGGTTGTGGCAAGAGAAGGCTTCGCTGTAATTCGGAAGAGTTCCTGGTTGGCAGTGTGGTAAATCGATTCTGGACTGACGTGGTAAGCTGGCTTTAGCGTGGTGGAGAATGGCTTTCCTGTAACGATGTAAACAGGCACGGGTTCCTTAGGGTGGCTTGGATCGATGCCGAAAAACTGTTCGGGAGTTTTGGTGAACAGTGACAGCGGAGTGGAGTGAAAGTCTGGTCCAAGAGTAGTGGAGTGGAGTGGCTTTGGTGTGGTGAGCAGTGGGCCGGACGTAGCGTGGTGTGGCTTAGATGTGATTTGACCTAGGAATGGCTTCGAAGTGGTTTTGATCGGCCTTGCTAAAGTATAGAGTGTGCTGTGGATTGGCTTTGGTGTGACATGTGGTGTAGTGTGAACTGGCTTCGGTGTCGTGATAGCTGGCTTGAAAGTACTGTGAACTGGCTTGGGAGATGTGAGCACTGTTTTTAATGTGCTGAGGACTGGCTTTGCTGTAGTGTGAATGGGTTTGAAAGTACTGTGAACTGGCTTTGGTGTTGTGAAGAATGGCTCTAAAGCACCGTGGACTGGCTTCGGTGTCGTGATAGCTGGCTTGAAAGAACTGGCTGAATGGCTTTAACGTACCATGGACTGGCTTTGGTGTTGTAATGAATGGCTTTAACGTACCATGGACTGGCTTTGGTGTACCATGAACTGACTTCAGAGTTGTATGAAATGGCTTCGATGTCGTGTGAATTGGCTTTGGCGAGGCATGGACTGGCTTTGGCGTGCTGAGAATCGGCTTTGGCTTAGTGTGGTGTGGTGCGCCGTGGACTGAGGCGTAGGAGGCTGGCTTAAATGTGGTGAAGCTTATTTTCGGCAGAGTATGAACCGGCTTTCCCGTAATGGAAAAGACCGAATTCGGCGTCGTGTAAACCGGCTTCGGCGACGTGTAAACCGGCTTAGACACGGCATGAGGAGGCTTGGCGGCGTGGGCGGGCGACGGGGGACGGGCGGACGGCAAGGAACCCTCCAGAGGCTTCCCCTTCGGATAGTGAGGCTCTCCCTCGTACACGACCTCGGCGTGGAAGCCGTCGACGCCCGCGCGGTAGATGACCGTCTGGAGGCGCCCGTCGGGGAGCCTCACCTGCGGGATGACGTCGTAAGGGGGTTGATGACGTATTGGTGGGGATGACGTCATAAGCAGATGACGTTATGATTGAAGGATGACGTTAGAAGTGGGTTGATGACGTTATGAGGGGGTGACGTCAGCACTAAGAGCTGACGTTACAAGTGGGATATGACGTTATTATTAAAGGATGGCGTCAGAAGTGGATTGATGACGTCAGCAGTGGGGAGGACGTTATTAGGGGGTGACGTCAGCAATGAGATGACGTCATAAGTGGGAGATGACGTTATAATTGAAGGATGACGTTAGAAGTGGGGCGATGACGTATTAGAGGGGATGACGTCGTAAGGGGGTGATGACGTATTGGCGGGGATGACGTCGGCAGTAAGAGATGACCTCATAAATGGGAGATGACGTTATAATTGAAGGATGACGTTATTAATGGGGTGATGACGTCAGTAAGCGATGACGTTATACGTGGAAGATGTTATAAGTGGGATGATGACGTATTGGTTGGGATGAAGTCGATAGTAAGAGATGACGTTATAGTGGGAAATGACGTTATAATTAAAGGATGACGTTAGAAGTGGGGTGATGACGTCAGGAGTGGGGATGACGTTATTAGTGGGTGACGTCAGCACTAAGAGATGACGTTACAAGTGGGATATGACGTTATTATTACAGGGTGGCGTCAGAAGTGGATTGATGACGTCAGCAGTGGGGAGGACGTTATTAGGGAGTGACGTCAGCAATAAGAGATGACGTCATAAGTGGGAGATGACGTTATAATTGAAGGATGACGTTATAAGTGGAGCGATGACGTATTAGAGGGGATAACGTTATTAATGGGGGGTGACGTCAGTAAGCGATGACGTTATAAGTGGGAGATGACGTTATGACTGAAGGATGGCGTCGTAAGTGGGTTGATGACGTCAGCAGTGGGGGCGACGTCGGCAGTAAGTGGGAGATGACGTTATAACTGAAGGATGACGTTCTAAGTGGGGCGAAGACGTATTAATGACGTTATTAATGGGGTGATGACGTCAGTAAGTGATGACGTTATAAGTGGGAGATGACGTTATAGGTGAGGTGATGACGTATTAGTGGGGATGACGTTATTGATGGGGTGAGGACGTCAGTAAGCGATGACGTTGTAAATGGGAGATGACGTTATAACTGAAGGATAAGTGGGTTGATGACGTCAGCAGTGGGAGTGATGTCGGCAGTAAGAGATGGTTATAACTGAAGGATGACGTTAGAAGTGGGTTGATGACGTAAGCAGTAAGAGATAACGTCATAAGTGGGATATGACGTTATAATGGAAGGATGGCGTCGTAAATGGGGTGATGACGTCAGCAGTGGGGATGACGTTATTACGGGGTGACGTCAGCAGTAAGAGATGACGTCATAAGTGGGGTATGACGTTAAAACTGAGAGAAGAGAGAGAGAGAGAGAGAGAGAGAGAGAGAGAGAGAGAGAGAGAGAGAGAGAGAGAGAGAGAGAGAAGAAAGAGAAGAGAGAGAGAGAGAGAGAGAAGAAAGAGAAGAGAGAGAGAGAGGGAGAGAGAAGAAAGAGAAGAAAGAAAGAGAGAGAGAAGGGAGGGGGAAGAAAGATAGATAGATGGAGAGAGAGAGACAGACAGAAAGAAAGAAAAAGAAAGAAAGAGCAAGACAGAAAGAAACACAGAAGCAGAACAAGAAAGAAGGGGAAGAAAGAAAAGAAATAGAGAACTGAATAAAAGAGAAGAGACAAACGTTACCTGGTATTGCCCTTTGGTATGGTGTCCGTCACTCTCCTCTTGCCTGGAGTAAGAGGTACCGTGGTAAGCATCCTTGACTCCGTACTCGAATTCGTAAGGTTTTTTGTGCGCCTGAAAAGGAGAGAAAAAATGAATGAGTTTTGAAGTAAATAGTAAAGTGATGTTTGCATTTTGTTGCATGTTCACACGTGTGGAAGAACAAACAGATAGACACACAACGCATAAATACAGACACGCAAACACACACAAATGCTAAAACTAACACGCAGTGATAAAAATACTAACATACACATGAATCAGCACATAACACACACACACACACGTACACACACACACACACACACACACACACACACACACACACACACACACACACACACACACACACACACACACACACACACACACACACACACACACACACACACACACACATAAACACTCACACACACACAAATCGTTATATTTGACAGGACGCTGCAAACTTCATCTTCCATGGCTTGTATCACAATCACCTATATCATAATAATAATAATGATGATATTGACACTACAGCCATGAAAACGAAGATCTTATAACAAAATGGCGATGAATACGATAATTCTATCCATAACAATAAATGATAATGGAAATATCATTTTGCTATATTTTCTCATAACTAATCCCACTAAGCTATCTCATTTGCATAATTCTTAATTTAGCTCGTGATTTGCGCCATCGTGGAGGTACTCACACTCGCATGTTCCGAATCACTGTAGTGGCGAGTGGTGCGGGGAGAGGGTGGGCGTGAAGGTGGGTCGCGGTGGGTTAGGTCTTCATGAAGGCCATGAGGTGGTGGGTCGTGGTGGGTTAGGTCTGCATGTAGGTTATGTAGAGGTGGGTCGTGGTGGGTTAGGTCTGCATGTGGGCTATGTGGAGGTGATTTTGGGTGGGTTAGATGTCCACGTAGGCTATGAGGTGGTGGGTCGCGGTGGGTTAGGTCCGCGTGTAGGCTATGTGGAGGTGAGTCTGGGTGGGTTAGATGTCCACGTAGGTTACGAAGTGGTGGGCCAGAGTTGGTTAGGCCTGTATGTGGGCCATAAGGTGGGCCAGGCCGCGTGTGAGGTGCAGGTAGGCTATGAGGCGGTGGATCCGGGTGGGCCAGGACGGGCGGTGGGCGGAGATCCAGGTGGGGCATGCCATCGCGTGGGGCGTGAGGAACCGCTTCTGAATGGGCGGGGGGCGGGAGTGGGCGCAGAGGCGACAGATCCAAAAAGGGAACGACATCGTGTGGGCGTCGCAGAGGGGGCTCGTGGGCGGAGGGCGCATCCCGCCCATCGCGCTCATCACGCCCGTGGAAGAGCGATGAGAAGCTGAAGTGGGCGCGGGGTGGGCGGGGCTTGAGGTCAGACGCCGCCGCGATGGGCCAAGAACGCCACGAAAGCGACCTGGAAGGAAAAGGGAAAAATGATAAAGATGGTGATAATAGATAAAGATAATAAATGACCGATAATGATGATGAAAATAAGTAACGAAAGATAAATATTATGACAGACAATAGATGATGATAATTATAAATAATGATGTCAGATAATAGATAATGATGATGATAAGTAATGAAAGATAAAGATAATGACAAATAATAGATAATGATGATAATAAATAATGAAAAATAAAGATAATGATGAATGATGAATTATAAAGATGATGATAAAAGATGATAAAGATAATGCCAGATAATAGATAATGAAGACAATAATCAATTAATAATAAGGATAGGGATGAATGATGAATTATTAAAGTATTGATAAATAACGAACATAATGATGAATAATGAAGATAATGATAAAAGATAAAGATAATAATAAGCAAAGCTAAATAAGATAATAAAGATAATATATACTGGTGTAAAGAAGAAAAATATAATAATTGAAACAAAAAAATGCCTTTAAAAGTAGTATGATGAAAAGGTCTATTTTCACATTTCTAAGAAGGAAGAATGTAGAGACAGAGACATAGCGGAAGATAGATAGACTGACAGACGGATAGATAGACAGATAGACAGACTGACATAAGGGAAGACAGATAGATAAATAGATAAAAAGACATTTAAAGAGAAACGGTACAAGTTCATGGAAAATAGAAAGGCAATGAGAGAGAACAAGAAAAAGAAAAGAGTGTGGGAGAGGGAGATAGAAATAATAAGAGTGAGAATGCAGGAGACACGTAAACAAAAACAGCAACAAAAACTTACAAGAGCAGAGGTCACGGTAACAGTAAGTCCAACCTTAATGACCTTGAAGCTAAAAGATAGTTTTCTGTCTCGTAAATTTCACTTTTTTTCTCTTTTCTTTTCGTGTTTTTTTTATATAATAAGCGGTTTTGAAAAAAGAACCGTTACTTTCCGTTTCTTGTACTGCCCTTTCTTTTTTTAAGTAGAATAACTAGTTTAGAAAAAAAAAATATATATATGTTTCCTCTTTCTTGTTTTGTCTTGAAAAATAATCTTTTTTTTTTTCGTTTTCCATTTTTTTTACTTTTTTTCTTTTTTTTTTTTAGTAAGTAGAAAAAAAAAACTATTTTGAAAAAGAAAAAAAATCCTTTGCAAAATCCTACAAAATACTATTTCTTCATTCTCCATTTCCTTTTCCTTCTCAAATAACTAAAATAAACTTTATAAAAAAAGAAACTCATCTCAGTTTCTGTCTTTCATTTTCTTTTCTAAGAAGTAGCTTAAGCGGCTTGGAAAACAAATTCGTATAATTATTCGGTTGTTTTCCCGGCGAACAGCTGTCTGCTCTAGCTTAATGCCCTTCGCTTATCAAAGTCGGATCTGAGGACGTCTGTTTTTCTTTGTTTTGTTCTTGTTTGCTTGTTTTTCGTCGTCATTTCCTCTCTTTTTCTTTTTTTCTTTTTTCTTTGTCTTTGTGTTTCTATTTCTTGTTCCGTTTCTCATTTTTATTGCATTATCCCTCTATTTTTCTTTGTTTTCTTTTTCTTTGTTTTTGTCTTTCTATTTCTTGTTTTGTTCTCATTTTTATTGCATTTTCTCTGTTTGTTTGTTTGTTTGTTTGACTGTCTGTCTGTCTGTCTGTCTTCTCTGTCTGTCTGTCTCTTCTCTCTCTCTCTCTCTCTCTCTCTCTCTCTCCTCTCTCTCTTCTCTCTCTCTCTCTCTCTCTCTCTCTCTCTCTCTCTCTCTCTCTCTCTCCTCTCTTCTCTCTCTCTCTCTCTCTCTCTCTCTCTCTCTCTCTCTTCTCTCCTCTCTCTCTCTCTTCTATCTATCTACTATCTATCTATCTCTCTCTCTCTCACTCCTTCTCCTCTCCTCTCTCCTCCTCTCTCCTCTTCCTCCTCTCTCTCCTCTCTCTCTCTCTCTCTCCTCTCTCTCTCTCTCTTCTCTCTCTCTCTCTCTTTCTCTCTCTCTCTCTCTCTCTCTCTCTCTCTCTCTCTCTCTCTCTCTCTCTCTCTCTTTCCTCTTCCTTCTCCCTCTCCCTCTCCTCTCTTTTCCTCTCCCTCTCTCCTCCTCCTATCTCTCCTCCCACTCCCCCTCCCCTTCCTCTTTTTCTTCTATTCTCTTCCTCGTCCTCTTCTTCTCACTCTCCCTTCTCCTCTTCCTTTTCCTCTTACCTCCCTCTTCCCCCCCCCTCTCTCTCCCCCGTGGGTTTCTCCGCAGTAGTAATAATAAGAGATACTCGCAGCAGCAGCAACAGCATATGGTGCACATTATCCCAAGCCACTGTGCAGTATTATCAGGAGTGAAAGCCGCAAAATATGAACTAATATCATTTTATTCGCGTCTGTTATTTTCACCGAGTCCGCTTAATGTAGGAAAGGAATGAATGAGAATGAATATCTTTTATGATACGAGAAATGTGTTTAACCGGTTTCGAATATATCTCCCAAGGATTTCTGACGTTAGTTATATACGAAACCGGTTAAATACATCTCTTGCCATGTATTTCTGGCGGAGATGTGTTCGAAACCGGTTGAATATATCTCTTGTATTGTGAAGATATTCGTTCTCATTCATACCCATTCTATATTTGTCAACATGAATACACTGAGTCCGTTTAACGCTTTCAACGCACCGTAGAAAGTGATCTTAACTGCTTGTTCCTTCGTTAATCTATTAGTTCAGTTAACTCTCGTTTGAAGAAGCAATTTGCTTATTTTCTTTGTTCACGGCATATAGATAGAGGTAAACAAATGGACATAAGCAAGGGGAGAGGAAAGAATGGGAGAGAGAACGGTAAGATATGTTTGTGTAATACCTTCTTATTATCGGATGAGTACCCTTGTGTGAGTACAGGCAACTGTAATTTGTTTTTTTTATTACGCGTATACGTTTTATGTGTGTGTGTGTGTGTGTTCGTGTACGTTTATGGATGTGTGTTCGTGTATGTATAGAAGTGTGCGTTCGAGTCCGCATGTATCCGTTTGTACTAATACGCATGTGTATGTGTATTACCAAGAATCTGCTTCATTTCCTGAGCTTTCTCGCGAAAACTGGTTATGACCAAAGACAAGAAAAACGCTAATTACACTCAAGTTGGTGTTATTATAAGCGAAGGTGCCTTTTATATATAAGTTATTCATAAATACTGTTGGATCTTCCTAAAAACCGCAGCGAAAGTGCAAATATAACGGAGTGAAGGGAGGGTTCACAAAGAAAAAGAGAGAGGGGGGAGGAGGGAGAGGGAAGGGTGTGTGTATATATACATATATACAAATATATAATCTCTCTCTCTCTCTCTCTCATCTCTCTCTCTCTCTCTCTCTCTCTCTCTCTCTCTCTCTCTCTCTCTTTCTCTCCTCTTCTCCCTCTTCCTCTGTCCTCTCTCTCTCTCTCTCTCTCTCTCTCTCTCTCTCTCTCTCTCTCTCTCTCTCTCTCTCTCTCTCTCTCCTTCCCCCCTCCTCTCCTCTCCTTCTCCCTCTCTCTATGCTCTCTCTCTCTCTCTCTCTCTCTCTCTCTCTCTCTCTCTCTCTCTCTCTCTCTGTCTCTCTCTCTCTCTCCTCTCTCTCTCTCTCTCTCTCTCTCTCTCTCTCTCTCTCTCCTCTCTCTCTCTCTTCTCTCTCTCTTCTCTCTCTCTCTCTCTCTCTCTCTCTCTCTCTCTCTCTCTCCCCCTCCCTCCTCCTCTTCCTTCTCCCTCTCTCTATGTCTCCTTCTCCTCCTCTTCTCTCTCTCTCTCTCTCTCTCTCTCTCTCTCTCTATATATATATATATATATATATATATATATTTACATATATACATATACATACATATGTATATACATGTGTGTATATATATAGAGAAAGAGAGAGAAGAGGAGGGAGGAAGGAGAGAGAGAGAGCAAGAGAGGAGAGAGAAGAGAGAGAGAGAGAGAGAGAGAGAGAGAGTAGAGGGAGGGAGGGGAGAGAGAGAATAGAGAGGGAGGGAGGGGGAGAAGAGAGAGAGGGGGAGGCGGGAGAGGAAAAAGAGAGAGCAAAGACACATTTTAATCTCTCTCTCTCTCTCACACACACACACACACACACACACACACACACACACAACACACACACACACACACACACACACACACACACACACACACACACACACACACACACAACACACACACACACACACACACACACGCACACGCACACAACACACGCAAACGCCAACAAACAAACCATTTCAAACTGCAATCACGTAGAGACAGACCCACACATATGTTCACCTTTTTTTGAGGGGTAATAATTTCGCAGAAGAGTAGCCATTGCATATCCGTTATAAGCCGAGTTTCTAGTGCATACTTTTGACACACTACAGCAGCAGATGGCGACCGCACGTGACTGAAGAACGAAAGAAAGTCAAGGAAGGAAAAGGAGGTACCCAAGAGTTCAAACCGACAGATTGGAAGTGATTAGCATAATCGAAAAAATCGTCATAGGGTCGACATGACAGTAACAGATTCGCTAATCTTTTGAGAGACTGGTGGGTATTAAATCCCTATTCGATTTTTATTCCGATATTCTCACCTATACAAATATATCACGAGGATCTATTCCCTCTCCTCCCCTTCCTCTCTGAAATATATAAATAGAAATAACCGAAGAGTGAAAGTTTTAGTCTAAAAAAAGAGAAAGGTATACATAGCTGCCGGACACTAAGCAACTAGCGTAATGAAAAAGCGTGATTTTTTATCTACGAGAAATAATACGAAGAGAGATCAACACTTAATGAAAGGGAGAGAAACCGATGCTTACGTAGAATATTAGCTGTGTGACAACGATAATTTGTTTAACAAGATGGGAGGGAAATAAAAAGGAGGAGATGGAGCTGTAGAGCAATTTGACAGTGAGAGAAAGAGAGAGAGAGAGAGATGGAGAGGAGAGAGAGACAACACACACAAGAAGAGAATAGAGGAGAGAGAGAGAGAGCGATGGAGATGGAGATACACAAACACAAGGAGGGGAAAGAGAGAGAGAGAGATGCGAAAGGGAGGGAGAGAAGAAGGGAGAGAGAGAAACATATACAAAATGTATAAAGAAACAGACTGATAGGGAGGAGGTGATGAAAGAAGAGGAGATAGAAAAATCAGTAATTAAAAGACGAGAAAGAAAGAGAGGAAGAGAGAGCGACAGACAGAGAGAAAGATAAGACAAAGAGAGAAAGAAAGGCAAGAGAGGAAAAATCAACAAAAACCCAAGACAAAACCGACAGAGCCTGAGAAAATGAACAAGTAAGGAACAAATAAGGTTATTCATTCTTCAAATAAGGAAGCAATATTTCTTTTCTTTTCTTGTATTTACTGACGCGGACGAAGAAGCATCTTAAGAGGCGGTAAGAGGCACTTCGGGATTTTGATTACTATCCAGAGAGAGAATTTGTCGCGGGCTTCGTATAAAGGAGTTGCGTCATTTCCGTTACGTGTGTTTTTGTCGTTTTGTTTGACTTTATTTGTTAATTGCGTGGTCGTTATGGACTTGTGTAATGTTTCCTTCGTTGATATGTTGACACTGATGTTATAGTTCTTTTTATCATTGTAA